ACACGATGTTGGACTCCTCGGCGATCCGCGACGCCCAGACCGACTTGCCGCGGTGCACCTCACCGCATGTGAGGGTAGCAATTGGCACAGGGATCGCGTGCTCGCGCACGTAGGCTGCGAGCTCCTGCGCGTGCTCGTCCATGGCGCGCGATGGGGGAGCGCAGCACGACGGCGCGCTGGAGCGTCGGGCCCGCGGGGCGCGTGCGCGCTGGAGCCCCGAGCGGTGCTCAAAGGCTCGGCAAAGCTAAAACGGCAATGGCGATGACAACGATGATGAACGTCATTTTGCCCATAAATTCTGTGCCGATCAGTGCAACGATTGCTGATGGCGACGCATGGCCATGACGATGATCAGACATATACATATACATACATATACGGGGCGTCATGAAGTCGCCGACGGGGGCTGAAGCGAGGGCGTCGACAGACATGTGTCGACCATCGTTCGTATGAGATGCTCAGCGTGGGCGTCAGAAGCGATGGTGATGATGACAATAATGGGGGTCGCATCGGGCAGTCGGCCATTGGTGGTCGACAGTTGGCAGGCTAACGAACCACATTTTGCATGTGATAGAAATGTCCTGAATGTGCCGCGATGGCTGAGCAACGTGGGTGTACATACGCAGAGCGCACAGTGTGTCACATGGACCATGATGAAGACATGCCCAGGGGAGCATGCGCGCGGTAGGATGATGCGGAGGATGGGCACGACAACGATTGACGAGTTGTGTATCCTATCATGTTAAGTGTTGTTGCTCGGCGCTCCTCAACACGATTACCAAGCCCGCAGCGATTGGCGACATGACGCAACATCTCCGCCCACGAAGCGAATGCTCAACTCCCAACGCATGCGCTCTGCACGAGATTGAGAATGCAAGACAACCCCGCGTCGCGCGCTCTACACAGGCACCGTGCTACCGTGCATCAGCCACGAGCTCTTACTCGATCGTCCTCCTCCTCACTATCCGCCCCCGCGCCCTCCCCGCAATAATGAGCCTCGGCGACGCCATCGCCGACCTGCCAGGACTGAGCCTTCTCCGCCGCGACCTCGACAGTGTTGCCGTGCTTGTCCAGCCTGAAGTACTTGCTGGCCTTGGCGTCGTCATCGCCCTCTTTACAAGCCCGAGCGCAAGCCCGACCGTTCTTGTTGGTGACCCACATGCGGATGAGACGCAAGTTCGCGATCGGGGACTCCGGCTTGTGCTGCTTCGCGTTGTCGAAGGCATCGAACTGGGCCCGCATCGCCCTCGACAAGTACGCGAGCGTCGACGAGTTGCACTCGACCTGAAGATCAGGCACCCCAGGCTTGTTCAGGACGACCTTGATGCTGCGGGACGGCTCATCGCCCATCGCAGGCGACGTGACCTCCTTGAACGTATCTTCGGCCACAAGCAAGCGCGACAGCGCTTCCCTGGCCCAGCGCTTCTTCCTCACCTTGCACTCCGAGTAGACGGCGTCGTCCTTGAGCTTGCGTACGTCAATTTGATCAGCGTAGTCCGACTCGACGGCCTGTCGAGCGCCTTGCTCCTGAGCCCATGCAGGAACAGCTTGTCGGCGAGCCTGTTTAAACTTAAGCTGAAGAGCTGCTCGCCGCCAACTTCGTAGATGCGGATGTGCACGCTCGCACCGGCAGGGCGATGAACTCAAAAGCTGGCTTGAGTTCGAAAGCCATGCTTGACAAATTGGGTCACGCTGGCAACTGCATCGATTATTGATGAAAGTGCGACGTGCTATGGTAGCGACAGCGATTGGCGCGATAAGGGTCGACGAGTGTGTAATCGGCCGAACTACACATCAAACTCGAAAGCGCGTCACGTTCATATGGCGCTTGGGGCTCGCCCACAATTGGAGCCCCCCACCCGCCCAGTCCTGATAGCCGCGTGCGCACGCCGAGCGACGCGCGCATGCGAATGCTCAGCGATCTCACGCAGACTTGCGAGCCCGCTTCTTTTCTGTAGTGGCAACCGCCTCCAAGTGAAGCACGAGCTCCCCGTGCTCGGCAACCTTCTTGGAGTTCGTGGCGCACGGGATGGTGATGTCGATCGTTGGGCCCGTCATCTTCTCGCCGACCACGGGGCGCTCCGCTTTCGCCGTAAGCATGGCGAGCTCGCAATTGCACTTGGCCCTGTCAGACTCCACGCGGAGGCGCCAGTACTGGCGCGCGAACTCATCGGTCGGCGGCGACGGCATGATGAACATCTTCGGGGCGCCGTCCAGGGGGGCGCTGACCTCGAGAGCCCCGGGCGGGCACGCCGCGACGTCCTTCGTCTGCGGCACAACGGGCCGAGCACCAGGCACTGCGACGTAGCATCCAAAACCGAGCTCCTTCGTGGCAAGCACTGCCCTAGCAGGTTTCTTCATGGGCCTGGCGCGCTGCACCCCGTGTTTGCGATGCAGCGCATTAGGCGCGGCACAGATCATGCCCTTGAGATCGAACGTGATGCAGTCCTTGTCGTGGCAGCATCGCAGTGGGGATAGTTGGCCATGAACTCCCTACCCTTGCAAGTCTGGAACAGCTCTTCGACTTCCTGCAATGGCTTGGATGTAATCCTATCGTCGTCAAGCATGCCGTCAAATTCCAAAATCTTGAAAGTAACACTACCATTGCCACTGACATTCGTTATCTTCCAACTATCCACCATTGCCAGCGGCGTGCCCTCGGATGGCTCTCGGAGTCTCAAGTGCGCGTCGACAGCGATGTCCTTGTTGAGCGCAGCGGTCTGGCCCAAGCCCGAAGCCTCGCCACCGTCGGTATACCGCGCGGAATTTGCCGCCAACGCTGACGAGGCGGCAACATCTTCTAATGGGTGCGTCGGGCCATCACCTGGGTTGCCGTCCAACTTGGCGATGCACTCCTCAAGGATCGTCACCAACCCCTTCTTCTCCGTGGCGTCCTTGCCCTTGCCATCGGAGCCCGTGCCCTTGATCTTCGCCTTGTCCTTCTCCTCCATCAGGAAGTCCACGACGTCGATCGTGAGCTGGCCCTTCAACGACTCTTTCACTGACGGGTCCAATTCCACTTCTTCGTGCATGGCCTTCGCGCGCATCAGGGCGCCGTTCGCCTGCGTCACCGCCTGGCGTTTGTCGGGCTTCGGGAGCATGGCCAAATCGGGCTTGGTGACACACCCTGCGAACCCGCCCCTCGCGCAGTCCTCCGCCGCGGCGTACCGAAACAGGACGGTATTCACCACGTGCGCTGGCGCGCAGTCGATGGGGAACTTGAGCTACGCCAGCCGCTTGAATAACAAGCCTGGCACCACGTGGTCGGAAGGCACGTAGTGGTTGAGCAGGGGCGAGAGCTCCTTGATCAAACCACCGCTGGACATGCCGCCCCACTTGATGATGTAGTCTACCATGTCTGGGGTGCCCATTGCTCCCGGAGGCTGTGACTTCAACACCTTCTTGGCGACGGCCTTCCAGTCGGGCTGCGCGCGCATGGAGGACGCCACGCCAATGATGCTCAACAGGTTCTGGAACCATGTCTCGCCTGAACTACCCCCCGCCTATGATGCGCCCGCCGCTGCCGCGGCAACAACAACCGATGCCGCATGACTGTCGCTGTAAACAAACCGCGAAACACGCAGACGACGACTACCGCGCTAACGAAAGTGGGCTGAACGGATACGATGAAAAAGAAAAGGAGAGGGAGGAGGACATCGGAGGAAAGAAGCAAGGGGGACAACCTTCGGACGTCTGCTGCGCCGTGTTAAGAGCGTCGCCGACGATTTTGGCAACCATGGGCACTGCCGCGTGGACGACCCACTTCGCGACGGTAAACTTGACACCGTTGACGATCGCGTCCCTGAGTAGACCCCTCTTGTCTCGGTTGCGCGCGACGTCGAGGTCCATGTAGCCGTCCTTCGCCAAGCTCCCGCACTCGCTCTTGGCGCGGTCGTGGACGCAAGCAAGCCCGTGAAGAGCATGCGTTGTCCCCCACGCCCCAATTCGAATCTCGTCCTCCTGGTACTTTGCGAAACACGGGTGCTTGGCACACTGTTTCACCGTGTACTTTGCGTACTCCTTGGTGCAGGGGGCGTCTTCGCCAGCCACGGCATTGTCCACGATGGCGGCCAAGGGGAAACCTGACGTCTTGATGACCTGCGCGCGCCCGCGCGCGCGACGCCACTGGGCGCTTTCGCCTCCGCGGTTGCTCTCCATGGCGCCCACCTGCTTGCAGTGGAGCACCTGCTGGTGCAACTGCTGGCATTTGTGGCACACCGCGAGGATGCGGTCCTTCAGCTCCGCGTTGCCAGCTGACTCTTTGCTCTCGGCGTCGTGCTCGTCGCACAACATTTTGAGCTCTCTGTAGCATGCCGTGGCCTTAAACTGTTGAGCGTCTGCCGCTCCAGGGTGCATGACTGAACACAAGCTGGGTAGATATACGAACGCACAAATCACGATATACGATCGCCGATACCAACTAAACTGAACCACAACAAAGCCAAAACAAGCTACGGAACGTGAGCAGATAGTCGGATGGCGCTCAAGACAATCGACGACATTCCAATACAATTTCAGACTCACGATGTCGGAAGGCAGCGGTCAACGATGCATGGCTGATGGCAAGAATGCGATTACCGATGTCAAACACAAGTTCACGCACATGTACGACAATCGCAAACGCTAAATGTGTGCATGCACGTGTGTACGTATGGTGTGATACAGATCGAAATGCAACTGTTGCACATGTGTGTGGGTGCTATGTGTTGGTATGTACGGTGTACACGCGACATGCAGTTATAACCTGGTTATGTTGATGACGATGTAAGCTTTTTGTAACTTCATACCTCTACATATTTGGTTACTAACCCCTCCGAAGGTTAGTGAACTTTACGGCCGAGTTAGATATGTTTTGGCAGCGTTACTACTGGGTTGCGAGAGGATTGGCTGGAGTTATAGCAAGCTTACAACCCAGCGAACAACAAAGCGGGCGCGCAGCCCGGGCGCCGGCGGAAATGATGCCAGCGCTGCAGCGGGAGCACGATTCGGGACGAGCGGGGCCCGAATATGAGGCCGGCGCCTCAGCGAGAGCAGCATTTTGGAAACAAATGCAGGCGACAACTTAACTCCGGGGGAACCTGCGTGTAAAAAACAGTACGCGGGGGGGGGGGGGGGGCGACTATTCCCAAGACGTCATCAGGGGAAGAGGGGGGGTAATATTCATATTGAGTAATTGTGGAGGAGGAGGAGGACGAGGAGGGGCAGGGGGGCGCGCGCGAACGCCGCAGTTGCGGCGTGGCACGACATATTAAGCGCTTCCGCTGCAGGAAAAAAAAAAACGCCATCCTCGTCACCATCGCCACCTCGAATCCTCGGCGCAATCACTTTAAACTTCATCGTTGCAACAAAAAACATTCCTGACATGGTTGTTCCAAGGGGTCCGGAGCGGACCCTTGGAACACCCATGGGGCCTGGGGCGGACCCGCTGCGTTGGGGGGATTGTCCGAATTAGGATGGCGTTTGGACTGCCTCCATCACGCCCGCAGCTGCGCGGCGGCTGCGTCTTCGACCTCTTGAACGTCGTCGAGTCCACGTGCTCCGTCGCCAGTGCGTCCGCTCCAGCAGCTCATCAGCTCGCTGCCCGACTCGCCGGTCTCCATGTTTGCTGTCGCGGCGAGAATGCTGTCGCTAACGCGCAGACGCTGCATTTCGTCCTCGGCCCCGCGCTGCCCGCGCCGGCCTTCCCGCGCCTCGTGTTCACGATGTTTTTTTCTTTGTTTCGTTTGCACTTCTGTGCGTGCTGTCTGTCGGCGCCGCCGCGCGCAGCCTCCCGGCGCAGCGCGCGCTCGATAGTTGATGCGCCGCGGCGCTGGCCGAGCGGCCCCGCTTCGCGCGATCCGCGCGCATCGCGGTCGCGGTCTGGGCCACCTGCCTTCTCGGCCCTGCGCGGCGCGGCGCTCCGCCTTCCTGGCCGACTGTCTGCGGACAGGCCCGCTCGATCGCCGGGGCCGCCCTCGCGCCGGCCTTCCCCGCTGAGGCGCAGGCCACCAGCAGGGGCCCAAGACGAACGCCCCGCGCGTCCGACATCGCAGCGGGCAACGCATGCGTCGATATTGGCGACGGCACGGGGGCCCGAGGCTCTCCCGGGCGTCAGCTCCGACGGAACCGCGCGAGGGCGACGGGCCGCTGCTCGGGATCCGCGCGCAAGAGTTGGCCGTGGACAGAGAGCGCGACATGGCGATCGACGCCCGGGCCCCCCTCGAGGAGCCCCGCCGCGCCGCCGCGCCGGCGGCCGCGCGGGGCCCGGCTGCGCCACGGCCGCCGCCCCCGCCGCGGGCGACGCCAGCTCGGCGCATGACGGCGCCAGCGCCGCCCCCGCGCGGACGACGATCAACGTCGGCGCCCAGCAACCAGAGATCGACGTCGACAACAATTCCGCTGCGGCCCCCGCCGGCGTCTCGAACCCGCGAGGCCCGGGGCCGGCTGTCGCTGCCGCCCGCCCACCACCGCCGCCTGCCGCTGTGGCCGGCGGCCGGCCGGCCCGCGGCGCGGCCCCTGCCTTCGCTCGGGCGCTCGCTGCCGCGCGGGCTTCCGCCGTGCCCGAGCGCGCCGGAGGGGCGCCGCCGCTGCCTCCCGATTCAGAAACTGCCCCACGCGTGCCCTTCCGCAACGGGCACTATCGGTGCCCACGGTGCCCAGACCGCGGCTTTCGCACGCCTGGCGGGTTCGCGCGGCACCTCGCGGCGACGCGCGCAGGCCAGGCCATGGGCGCCAACGTGCGGGACACGGTCGTCGCTCTCCAGCGCAGCGTCTGCGCCGACTCCACTTGCGGCGGCCTCCGGCCACTAGGCCAACGCAGGCGCGCCCGCCGCCGGCAGTCCACGCCCTGCCGCCCGCCCGTCGTCGTCGACATCATCACGGCTGCCGCCCACCCGTCGTCGTCGACATCATCGCGGGCGCGGCGATTGCAGCGCGCCGCGCGCAAGGCCGCGACGTCGCCGCAGCCGCCTCAGAGGCTGCGCAACCCGCCGATGATGCCGTCGCCCCCGACGACGGCCCTGCGATGGGAGCACCCGCCCTGCCGCTCGACTGCACGCGCCGCGTCCGCGCCCTGAGCCACAGCACGTGTGTCCACGTGCCCCTCAGCTGCCGTTCCCGTGTCCTCGCCGCCACCGGGCAGTGCTGGAATCGTTGCGCCGACGGCGCCCGCGAGGGGTCGCAGCTGGAGGAGGCGCGCTCCAAGCTCCTGCTTGGCCCCGTCCCCGAGGGTTTGCCAGCCCCCGAGGAGGTCGCCCTGTGCCTGGCGCCCTGGGAGTCTGGGGACTTCGCCGCTCTGTCGGGCCGCCTGGGGCAGCAGAGAACCCTTGCCGGGGCCCTTGCCAACAGAACCAGGCGGCGGCGGCGCGGCGACACCGGCGACTCCGAGGGCAAGCAGCGGCGCGCGAAGCACCTCGCCGCCGAGAGGGCTTTCCGCAGGGCCGCCCTCGCCATCGCGAGCGACGCCCTGCAGTCCAGCGCCGAGGAGGACCTCCGCTACGCCCGCCAGCTCCCCCCTCGGACCGACCGACCAGGCCGCGCCCTCGCTGCCGCCCAGCCAGGGCTCCCCAGAGCGCCGCCCGACCCGCAGGCTGTGCCGCTCAAGGCCGCTGGCGCCTCGGCGCCGCCGTCGCGCGATGGCCTGGCGTCGGCTGCCGACGGCCGCGCGCCCCCTGCGGCGGCGCGCGCGGGCTGCCCCTGCGGCGGCGCGCGCGGGCTGCACCCGCGGCGGGGTGATCTGCTGGCGCCGACGCCGAGGCCCCGACATAATGGTCCAGCGCGGAGCAGGGTCCGCGGGCAGGCGCCCGCAGGAACAAGGCACACCTCCGCGTCGCCGAGGCAGCGGCGGGCCTGGGCGCATCCAGGCCAGGATGGACGCAGTCAGAGAGCTGGGCATCGAGCAGTCGCACCACCCGGCATAGTTATCACACGAACAAGTGGAACATCAGGTTTCACTGCGACTCAAATGATGGATGCCAATATGTGTTCAATGAGAGCGACGACAAGCTTTTTTAAGGGGATTGCGCTACGGGGGGGCAATGTGCTTCGGGGGTTCCAGGAATCCGCGGGCCTCCCAGGGGTGGGCTAAAACCTTGAGCCTACTCGTCCCGCCGCGGGGGGGGTCGTTTGACTTCCCGCTCTCTCCCTGCCGCCGACCGCCGTGACTGTTTGTTCGCCGAAGAGATCAAGGCGCGGGTGCCGCGGGCCCGCCGTCGAGCGCGCACAAAGGGAGAGGGCTCGTCGTCGTCGTCGTCCCTTTTTTTGTTCTCTTGTATCCATCGATCTGCAGCTTAACGGGTGAATGGACGCATGTCAGAATCACCAGCTTTGAGCGATGGGACCGATTCATTACCATCATCATCATGTCCCGCTGTTGCCGGGAGCCACGCACGCTTGGCACATTGCCGCTCTTGCCAGGCCAGCCAGCGCCGACCTGGCCAGCTTGTAATTTACAGTGCGATCCAACCGTTTCTCTGCACGATTCGCAGTGCATTATTTCGCCTAGTTCGTCACCTTACCCACTTATATGACATCTGGCCAGTTGGGCCGTCGGCGGGGTGGTCCTCTGCCTTGCTCTGGGCCGTCGTATTTTGTCGCTTCCCACCGCGCGTTCTTCGGCGCTACCATGTTGCTTGCTACCCTTGCGTTGGAGGCGGGGGCGGGTAGTTGGAGGACGAGGGGGGCGAAAAGAGGTGGCGCATCAACGCATTTTGCCCCCGGCAGCTCGCACCGCAGCCCAGCGCGCCGTGTCAAGGTTGCAGCCGCGGCAGCCTGCCTCACCTGCAGGAGGGGTTGGGGTTATGAGATGGTGGTGGTGGTGGTGGAGGTGGAGCGCGTGCGTCCGTAGCACGCGCCTGCGCAAGTTTTGTTGCCGCCGTTGTACGACACGGGCCGCGTGCGACGGCGAGGGGATTGTCCAGGTCCCCGCCGTGGTCTGCCGTTGCGTGATCCACGGTATTGCTTTCGCGTCGTCGAGCGTTCCATGTTTTCATTGCGCCCCCCAAGCTATGCAGGGCAGATTACCCATCGTGCCGGCGTGCACCGTAGCCGCCACTTTCTGTTACATTATCTCGACGGCCCGCGTTGCGCAACTTGTGCCTACCGCTCAGGCCAGCAAACACCGTCGGAGTTAGCCTTCTACATCCATTCGGTTTCACTGACACGGCGCACTACAATCCCGCCGTGCATGCTTCATCTCGCCGCCATTTACGAGCTGACAGCGCAGCTTTCCCTTTCAAACTGCACGCGTTGCTTTCGCACCCCACTCCTATAGGGATGAAATGGGAAGGTTCGCCGAGGAAGAGGTGGAAGAAGAGGGGGGGAACGGCTGCATCCTTGCAGGGCCCTTG